TTAGCCAAATTTGCCGATAAATGTTGAATAATATGCGATCTTCTATAACCCCCCTCCCCAACCGATATAAAAATAATAAAAACGAGCTCTCAAACCGATAATAAAAGAATTCGGTCCAAATTTTGCGCAGATATTCAGGAGAAATAAATGCATTAATCTATGTATAAAATTTCTTACACTTTCGTGACAAATATCTCTACATAACACCCATACATCCTTAATATAATGGCATCCCACCTTAATAGTAAATATGTTTTTCGTATTAAATAAATCAGATCCAAAATCATTTAAGTTTTCAGCGTCAAGCGTGCGAAATTTAATTACTGCGCATGTTCGTGAATCATAGGTTCGCTTCGTCGTAATTTTTGTAGGTTTCGAAACATGTAAAAAAAACTATTACAACCGTTCTGTGATTAGATATATATTGTCGCCTACGAAAAATAAATTTAGAAATATTTAGAAATATTTAGATGAGTATCTTCAACAGATGTTCATTACGCGACTAATGATCAATGATATTAACTAAGATATGTGAAGCGTGACAACATAAGATTCTATTTCTTCAGGTTAATTTAACACTTTCAGGTTAATTTATTTTAACGTTCATTGCCAATCACGCGATATCGCGTGATGCGAGTTCTTATCAAACGGCCGATCACACGTTATCGCGTTATAGATATTGAGAGTACATAAATCCTATGTACATAATAAAAAAAGCATATAAATAATATATTAACTTATTTTGAGCGCAATAAAAACTAAAGAAAATAAAAAAAATATGAAATTCCAATTTTCAGCTTGGCAATGAACGTGTTAAAGAGATGCTTTCAGCAAAAATAAAAAAAAGATATATATTTTAAAATAACATATGATTTGTTTGTTATAAGAATAATAGTTTTATCAAGAATTAAATACTCAGAAAATAATATCAAATTCCGGTAATGATTATTTTTATGTCTTAGCTTATAAAGCTTGGAATGGAAGTGACCCTGGAATAAATGCCAAAGAAGAAGAAATACACTGTAAAAATAAAGAAAGATCATATGGATACGCGTAAACGCTTCTTTTTCGAGTTTTTGTTTGTAATAAAGATTCATTAGAACACTTTACAAGACCACAGATGTTACGTTACAACAAAGATATTTTTTATCTTTTTAAATTAAATTGATGAAAATATTTTCAGAGATGTGAACGCTTTGCATTGACAATTCGTTAATTACACTGTGTAATACAATTTTGTTCTTGTTAAGTAAGGGTCATATTCTGATTGATCTTATATCTAAAAATCATATAAAATTTTTATTATTCCCTAAAAACTTTGTTTTCGTGACCAAGGCAATGATATTTTGAAATTTACCTATTTTCAATAATAAAATGGGCGAATTTGTATATTTTCGTTCACATAAAATCANTAATTATATAAAAATGTTTACAAGAGACTTAGAAGTCGGTTCTTTTTTAATTTACGATTATACTATAAATTACTTCCACGAATTAACCCCCAAATGTAATCTCCTATCAAGTTCTCGTTGCAATATCCTTGATAACGACGCTCAATCGCTTCAAAGCTCAATATACCCTGCAAAATCCGTCTGCAAATGTTTTTAGTATCTTGATGCCATTTCTGTATATGTGAAACATGCAGATATGTATCCACTTAGATAGTTGAAACAAAACTGAACTGGTGAGTTTAAGGTTAAAGACTCTATTTATACTATTTGTTTATTACTAGAAAATTCTAAAACGTTCTCGAGAACTTTAAAAGATTCTCACACGTTCTAGAAGATTTTCAGACTTTCAGTTCTTGAGAGATCTAGAAGATTCCGGAAGTTTACTCATCAATTTATTAATCTCGAATGTTCTAGAAAACAGAAAACTATTATATGTATTAGAATAAATAAATATATGTTAATTTTGATTCATAAATTATATTCTAAGTTTATGTGAACGAAAAGACACAAAATCGCACATTTTCTTATTGAAAATAGATAAATATTACAATATCGACTGTCCAAGTCACAAAAGCAAAATTTATGAGAAATAATATCCATTTTCTCTACTTTTGAGGTATAAGCAATCAGGAAATAACAGTTTCAATCCAGAAACAAAAAATTAATACAAATTTGTTACATAGTGTTATAAAAGACAGTCAAGAATTTGGTATTTTTAACTAAATTTTTTTCTAAAGGTCGATGGGTAAGATAAACTGATTTTGATCCACAAAGTGTAAAAACAGCATGGTTTTGTTTGTAATTTTTGAGCTGTTGAATTTGATTCTGAACTTTAAAAAATTTTAATTTGTCGGGAAATATTAAAAGCAGCATATAAAGCTATTAAATATATAAAAAATTATGAGAACATATAAAGCTATTAAATATATAAAAAATTATGAGAACGGTATGTTAATGAAAATGTAAAACTATAATAAAATAAACAATATTAAGTGAAAATCATTTGATATATGAACAACACAAATTAACAAATAAAGAAGGTCAACTTATTCGGTCAAAGCGGACATTGGTACTAAAAATATATTAAATCTTATAATTTTCAGTAGAAAAATACTACAATAGTAAAATACATTTAATTAAACGGGAATCTATATATTGTACATAGAAGAATATATACATAAACAGAAAAAACCAAACATTGAGGAAAAGTAAATGGAACAATTATTCTTACTTAAAATCACTTTCGCTGTTAGCAACCATTTTGAAAAACTTCTGATAGATGAGTGTTCAAGTGAATCTTGGGAAAAAAATCGGGTATAACCAAGATACCACAAATTATCATGGCAACCTGGAAGCAACATCCAACAACCCGGCGATCAATCTTGTATGCACAGGAGTGCATCACTATGTAAGACATTCCTGGGGCTCTCTTATTAAGATTTTCATGTTTTACTAGTAGGAAAACACGAATGAATATGTTCGTAAAGCTCAATAATAATAATAATTTACGGTACTAAATGTTTAATAGCTTCATACACTGGATTTTAATATTTTCCCGACAAATAAAAATTTTTTAAAAATCAGAATCAGATTTAGCAGCTCAAAAATTACAAAAATTATACCGTTTTTATTTGCCACTCCGAAGGCAAAAATCAGCCCATTTTATCTATCGTCTTTTATATATATTCTTGTGACTCCATGAGAAATAAATATATAGATATCAAACAATATATCTTATATATTGTTTATAGGCATATATACAACAGTACTAGTAATTAAATTTGCTAGGCATTTTCGTTAGACGGCATAAGCAATTAGGAAATTACCTTGCCGCAAACAGAAAATGATTACAATTTGAAAAGATAATGTTTCCATACACATGCCGATATGAATTTTTTTTCGTCGTTAAGAATAAACTACATTCTTAAAATATAGCTATCTATTTCATGTTCACTCTAATTATTTTATCTTTATACAGTACCATGTACTTCAGAATATTGAGGACGACA